CGGTTTTTTGAATTATTTCTATCTTGTCGAGCCCCGCCGGCTTTGATATAACTTAGCGGAAGAGAAACAGGTGCTGTCAGCTCAAAATATGAGCCACGTGGAACACACAGGCCTTCGTGAACATACTACTGCAACTACATGCCAAAATTTGATCCACCTCAAACATCTCCTTTCCAGGCAAAATTTTCTGGTTATTATCTCGAGAGACCTCACTACTACTTGTAATTACTTTTTTTAAAACAGAATCCTAGAGTGGTTCTTCTTTGGCTTACCCGTAAGCAGAATTTCTTTGTGAAACACCATCGATATATAATCTCCGGTGGTGGCGCTCAAAAACCACATAGCAAAATAATTATCGTAGCCAAATTGCCCATCATGAGATTGCTTAGCTGTCATTGTCGAATTGACTGTTGCTGATGGATTTCCTCGTTTGCCCCTGAATGCGAATAAGTGTCGATCACCTAGCCTCTAAAAGTTTGATTATATTTGGCCTAGCAATTCACTTCTAAACAGAGATCTTTCGCCGGTTAACAGCCACGTTATATAGTTTATAATTCAGATCTACAAGTCAGCTTATCATATGTGACGTGTTTTGTTCAAGATTTACTAGAACTTTTACGTGAAGAGAACAAAACCGACTGCTGTTCGGATTTAATGCCTGGAGCGATAGAGGGGACATTATATTTTTCTTTTGAGATTCCTTACCATCAATTCCCTTAGCAGCAGGTCGCCACGAGAGACATCTAGATTCTCGTGTGACATTGATCTTACTTCGGCTGCGCTTAAAAATGTAGATTGCGAGCATTTTTTATCTTGGGTATCTATCGAAGGATGCTGCTGCTAGCAGTTGTAGCTGGGCGTACAGGACCTTCAAACTGCCGCGATACACGACCACTCTTTGGAAAAAGACAGCGCGTATTTATTGATAATATATTCTTGACTCGCTGTTTATAACTAAACACCTCCGTAGCTCCCTTGCCAAAGTTATCTTCCTCAAAAGAATGAGTCTTTCCTTGCAGAGATGAAACCATTCCAGTGTGTCTAAATTGAGGTGAGCCGGAAAATATTTCATAGCGACGTTTGTTCTGAAATAGGTAAATAGCTAAAATTTTGATTTGAAAGAAGTAAAAGGTGCAGCAGTACCTGTAAACAATCTTCAGAACTCTTGCCGGGATCACAGTAGCGACTTGTGAGCACGTCCCAGAGAATCCAGTCGACTGGCTTGAAATGGTGATACAGTGCAATCGCGTGGGTCATGTATGTTAAGTCAGTACTTCTGTGAATCGTGATCATTAGCAATAGATACATTTAAAGCCAAATAAGCTTGCCACGTCGATTTTAATCGAATTTACTAGCGACCAAAATCATTGCCGTGTAGGCAGAATTTTGCAGGAAAAAACGAAATTTCGTCCAATTTATGAAAGCTAACTTAAAGCTGTAGTGAAAATCGTGGACTACTAGAAGCACATCATGAACAAATACTCGTATCTGTATTTATAACCGTATGCTTTTCAGGACCTTGCTCAAAAGTAATACATCCTCGCAGCATATTTTAGGCCTTTCATGGGGCCCTTTACGACACTTATACAGTTCAACAAACGTGTTGCGTATATCACCTGTATCACCTGTCGTCCCGTTGATCGTCGAGTGACTCGAGCGGGTACCAGCAACTCTTCCATTTTTCCCTATCGCGTGCAAGAGTAGCCCAGTGGGTCCTCCTCGCTCTAGGGATTCGCTGAGCATCATATCTTTCTTCTATCGCTTTCGTGAAGAAATCGGACCAACGGGTCAGTGGTCTTCCTTTAGAGCGCTTGACGTCCCGAGGAATCCAGTCGGTAAAGGCTCTCGTCCATCGGTTGTCGTTGAAGCGCATCACGTCTCGGCCCACCTTATTTTCGATATCCTGGCGTGTAGAACGGCGTCTCTGATTTTCGATCGTTGACGTAGGTCGGAACTTCGGATCCTTTCTCTCATTTGCGAAATACGGGATACTCCTAGCATCGACCTTTCGACTGCGCGTTCGATAACGGCAAGTGATCTTTCATCCTGCTTACGTAGCGACCAGGTTTCTGCTGCATACGTTAGGGCAGGGATAATTGTCGAGTCGAAAAGGTGGGCACGGAGTCGGATGTTCTTTGTCCTCTTCACTACATCTTCGATGCTCTTAAACGTTCCCCAAGCCGCTCGTTTCCTCCTGCTCAACTCTGAGGCTAGGTCGTTCATCATGTTGATTTCACGACCTAGATAGACGTAACTGGAGCATTCGGAGATTGTCGTTCCGTTGAGCGTGAATGGGGCATTAGAAACCCATCCGTTCCTCATGAACATTGTTTTCGTTAGATTCAGTTGAAGACCAATCTTTCCACAGGCGTTATCGAAATCAGTCAACATTCGCTCTGCTTGGCTGATGTTTGGTGTTATGAGAACGATATCGTCAGCAAAGCGAAGATGGTTTAATTGTCGACGTCAATTTTCACTCCCATTTCTTCCCATTCTAATGTTCGCATGACGTTTTGTAGGGTGGCAGTGAATAGTTTTGGAGAAATTGTATCGCCTTGTCGAACCCCTCGTCTTACGTCAATGGTGATATTGTTGTAGAATGGAGATATTTTGGTCGTGAAATCTTTATAAAGCTCACGAAGGATCATTATGTACCGAGTAGGGACGCCCTGGTTATCCAGAGCCTCTATAACCGCTTCTGTTTTCCACTGAATCAAAGGCTTTCTTCAGATCGATAAAAGTGAGACAGAGTGGTTGTTTGTACTCTCGCGAAACTTCAATGAGTCTTGTGATCGTGTGGATGTGGTCCATGGTACTCAATCCTTTTCGGAACCCTGCTTGTTCGCATGGCTGTCCTTCGTCCAGTGTTATGTCAATCCTGTTTAGGATGACTCGAGTAAAGAGTTTATAGACAACGGACAGCAAGCAGATTGGGCGATAATTGCCTATGTCGTGAAGGTCTCCCTTTTTGAACAACAATACGGCCTTGCTGGTTTTCCACTGAATAGGGACCTTGCATTCTGACAGGTAGCGAGTGAAGAGCCGAGCCAGGGTGTTGATGAGAACTGGCGGCAGGTTCTTCAGGTGTTCTGGTCTAATCCTGTCTAGACCGGGTGTTGTTCTGTTTTTCACCGACGATATAGCATGTCGGATTTCGGAAGGGAGGACCGGTGGAACGACATATTCTTCCTCTTTCAATTTATATGACGGTAAGAGGACATGGCTAGCGAAGAGATCCGAGTAGTATTGGTGGATGATTTTCTCCATAGCCCTTCTCGAAGCTGTAAGTGTCCCGTCAGGGTATCGGAGTGCAATCATCTTGGTCTTATAGTTGGCGAAGCTCGCTGGGCTTTGCGAATGCTCTTCCCAGCTTCTGCAGCTTCTGCCATAACTGCTGCTCTTCTCTCTTTAAGGTGATCTTTTATCGCTTCTCTGCAACGTTTCGCAAGTTCGGACGTAAGGTTTCGGCTGCCTGCAGCTCGTGCGATTCCACGTTGACGTATCAGCTCGAGTGTCTGCGGAGACAAGCGTCTCTTCGTGACCTTAGGACTCTCGGCTTTTATAGCGCTAACGTGAAGATATTCAACGAGTCGATCGTATTCTTCGTCGATGTTGTCGACAACGGTATCTTCCCAAGAGCCGACTAATGATTTGAATACATCCCAGTTTATGGTAGTCCTGGGACTTCGTTGTTTGAATTTAGCGGCTTTCTCTCCTCTCCTCGAAATTCGGAACGTTGCGCGAAGGAGGCGATGGTCTGATCCCGTGTAGAACTCAGGAACAACAGCGACGTCGGTCAGGCAAAACCTTCGATTTACTATGATGTAATCTATTTCGTTATGGTACTCTCCATTGGGAGACTCCCACGTCCATCGCTGAGAAAGAGGTTTTAGGAATTGCGAGTTACCATGGATGGCTTGGGTCGTCATGATAAACTCAGATAGCCTCTCACCCTGTTCATTCCATTCTAGTCCGTGGGTCCCTATGTGACGTTCTTCAGACGTTCTTCTAGGTCCAATTTTTGCGTTGAAATCTCCGACAATGACCTTGAAGAATGTATGATCTTGTCTGAAGAACTTTTCGAGGTTCATATAAACGCTTCGACTTCGTCTTCGTCATAGCTTGATGTTGGTGCGTAAGCACGAAGATGGTCAAGCGGCATAGAACCACATCGTTTCAACCGTAATCGTCCGATGCGGGTTGTTAGTTGTTCGAACGAATCAATGTTCACGGTCAAATTCGATTTGACGAGGACGCCAACGCCACCGACACCTCTGCGATCGCATGTTCCAAGAAACAGTTCTTCTCCGGTGTCATAGACAGCGTGAAAAGGATGGCGCCTTCTCGTCTCAGCCAGGCCAATGACGTCGTACCTTATTCTTCTTGATTGAATCAATAGATCTTCTACAGCGGATTCGTGAGCAAGGGTTCTTGCGTTGTAGGTACAGATCGTCATTTTAGTCCGTTTCGATCTTGGCAGCCTAGTTCGGACCTGAGATTTTAGCAGCCTCTCCGTACTCGTCCTACCTGGCGCTGCCGTACCAGGGGCTCTTTCGGGGTCAGGGGAATGAGGCCCATATTTGTCACTGTTTTTGTCATTTTGATACCCAACGTATAGCTTGCTAGGCTCTAAACGTGGGGGCTGGGTACTCACGAGTAGCTTGCCAGTCTCTCTCGGAGGAGCTGGAGGAGCTTATTTGTTGGAGGCGACTCCTAACCGCCTCCCATGTACTTTCCAGCCGCTTGATTGCAGGCTTTTGGCCGACTTGACTCGTAGAAATAGAGTTTTTGTCAAGTCGGCCCTGCAGAAGCAGGGAGCTCGTCCCTGAATCCACCTGCGTCTCTGGAAAGCACACGGTCGCTTTTGGTTCGCATTTTATTTAACTATCCACCACCTGGGGACGCGCGACGTGCCCTCGCGACTAGCCGGAAGGGATCCCTCAAAGAGGAGGTCCGTGATTGCGTATATATCTAAGAGAATTGAGTGATAAGAAAAAACATGGCCTCAAGCGGGACTCGAACCCGCGTTTCATCCATGCCGGTGACGAGTGCTACTGCCACCACACCACAAAGGGATATTTGCACCACCACTCGTTTTTCAACATCTCTATGGCTACCAGCATCAGCCACGAACCTCTAAGAGGTTTGGTCGGGCATGCGATTTTGTTTTATAAATGCAGTTGAGTTGACAGCCATGTAATAGCTAATACTCGAAATTCCTAGCATTTTTCCTGCATTTTCGCAGTGTTATGATGTTTCGTATATACTTTAGAGATCTGAGTGGTGGTGCAAATGTGCCTTGGTGGTGCAGCGGTACTAGCACTCCACCACACCTCGGTGGTGCAGCGGCATGGATCAAACGCGGGTTCGAATCATTTGAGGCCGTGTTTTTGCTCACCACTCAGTTTCCTTAGGTATACACGAAACATCATAACACTGTGAAAAAATGCATGAAAAATACTAGAATTTTCAAGCACGTGTTTTGGTCTTGGAGCCTTGTCGATTACGCAGTGCCCTTTGTCTGTGCCCGTAGCGAGGGTTTGTAGCCGATGCAATGGATTATATGTGAAAATTCAGTGGATCCGTACTGTATTGTGAAGGTTCAGCGGTTTATATGAGTTATACCAAACAGTAGAGGCCAAACAACCTATAATATACATACATTACTGTAATGATATAACAATAATATATACATGATTGCGACATATCGTTATGTGAACATTTGCCTAAGTCTGTGCAAGTAACCGACTGGATAAGTATCATCATCTGACGATACTATTAATGTTATTATGACTGACGGTGTTATTGTAACTAAAGATGCTCTTGTAATTGGCGATGTTAATGTGACTGACGGAGCATGACTAAGCGGCTGAGCCGTTTGGGTTGTTATGCTCGCCCCGGAATGACAAGTCAACGATGGGATCCAGTGGGTGAATATATAGCGTGATAGCATTGGGTCACTACTGATTATATTTGAACAGAATTCGTTAACTGCGGTGGTAGGCCGAGCATAGCCTAAGTGACTCGCTCTGCCACGGAAACGCTATGTTCCGCTCACAATTCTATTGAGTACATTTAACAATTATATGAACACAAAGTTATGATAGCAATTAGATAAACGACAACCAGGCTATGTGAGGAAAGCAATGATGAATCGATTATGATTTGAGGTGAGAGTTATGAAGTCTAACGACCGTTTAGATGATGACCGACGATTAGACTGACTATTGAGGTTGGTGGTAGCTGGCTGCCGCCCTCATCACTTGTCTAAAGTCTTCGAACCTCTGCGATACTACTTGCTCTTTGAGGTCATGGACCATCTGCGTTGCCTAAATTTTCATGTGATTCTAGAAAAGATAGCAAAGCTCCCTTCGGAAGTTTGCTATAGTGCCAATCTCTGTCGGGGGGAGAACACACATTGCACCGCAAATAAAGTGGAAATTTTAACCCCCCACTGGTAACATATTACTGCATGCTCAATGACATGATCGCCGGATATTACAGTAAATAACATTGGACTCATGGTCAGCAATATGGCTGCGGGACCTTCACGGTCCTAGCTACGGTTGCGCCGCCCACTCCAGCGAGGCGGCGGTCACTTTTGAGCCGTGCTGGCGCCGTGGATGGTCGTATATCCCCTTGCGTTACTCTGCCACTGTTTTTTCTTTGGCTCCCTACCTCTGCTCTTGACTCTGACTTTCTGCCTGTGCTCTCGTTATTATGTATGAAGTGATCGTGCCGTGGTCGTGAGCCACCTTATCGATTGACTTTGTTATTGATTGAATCTAACCATTCATGGTTGTTTACGATGCTCGTACGTTTTGAGCGGAGTTGTCGACGATGGCGGCGCGCTAACCCCGCGTACACTCTGATTGACCTGCCACCGGGGGATGAGTTCCGATCCACGTATATAGCCCAGGTTTTCGACACCCACTAGCTCCCACACTCACTGGTGTTCTGTTCTTTCCCGGAGCAATCATAACTGCACCCCAAGGTTCGCCGCCTAGTCAAAACCCGCCATTCTAGATTCTTTCGCAATCTTTATCTCTTGACTTGCTCTCACCAGTCTTCACTTACTCAGTGTCGCAGTATTAGCGTCACGTAGTTAGGTGCCGTTAGGATGTTACGTCATTACCGTCGTTCCGTATAGGCGCCATTCTTATGTTATGCTATTGTCGCCGTTCTGGTGGGGCGTTATTATTATGTTATGTGTTATTGTTTTATAATATTGTATTTATTGTATATATCTTTAGGTTGTCTGGGCATTCTGCTAATAAACTATTCAATCATACTCAGGCGATCAAAGCCAAGCCGCAAAGGCAATCTGTCGATCGACCAATCAATCGTCGTCGGAAAACCTAGGGAACGGCAGCGAGCACCCGTTCCTAAATGGTGGGTCTTAGGATATCTTAAGCGAGCTTTTAGAAAATAGTCAAATATAGAAGTATTATTATAGAAATTTCAGCCTCAAACAATTGACTATTAATTACTGCAAGGTCTGGTGATCATGTCATTGGAAATGCGGCGATATATTATCCGTGGGTGGGGTAGAATTTTCACTTTACACGCGGTGGAACATAATAGCCGGCGATTCGTCCATGTAAAGGAGTTGTCCTTCGAGAGGGATGAGAATGTGCTATGTTATACATCAAAGTAATGCGCATTCTTTGTTCTATATTTTGTTTCTAATAAGACTTTATTTTGTATTTATTTTAGACCATGGAAAGGATGTTACTCAAAAAGCAAGTTCTAACGGTTTTATTATTCGAGTTCAAATGAGTCTTTGAACAACAGAGACAATTTGTACTCAACAACGCATTTGGCCCAGGAACTTTTAGCAGACGTACAGTGCAGTGATGGTTTAGGAAGTTTCGTGAAAAAGACACATTTCGACAATGCACAAACCGGAATCACTTTTGCATCAACCACATGAAGAAGACAATAATCGAATTTGATACTCGTAAGAGTACGCGAGATGCTGCAGAAGAACTCAATATGGACAATTCCACTGTTGAACTGATGAACGTGAGACAGAGCGGTCTCTTGTACTCTTGCAAAACTTCACTGACTCTCATTATCATGTAGGTCTATGGCACTCAATCTTTCTCGAGACCTTGCTTGTTCGCATGGTTGTCCGTTACCCGTGCTTTCCCGATCCTGCCCAAGATTCAAGAATTTAGGAAAAATTTATAGATCCCCCTTTTTGAGGGTTCTCAGCGTCGGATAACCACGAGAGCACATGATGCGTCATCACGAGTGGAGAGAATGATTTAACGCGGACCCAGAAGCGTTCGTGTGCCTCCCAGAGACGCAAGCGGATTCAGCAGATAAACTCTTTGTCTTTCCAACAACAATTTGATAGACCTTTATGATTGAGAGTGAAATTGATCAAAAGCCTGAAATCAGGGGGCTGGGAAGTACATGGAGTGCGGATGCGAACTGCTTCCAACAAACAGACACCTGTTTCCGAGAGAAAGTGGCAAGCCCGTGAGTACTCACCACCCACGTTCAGAGTTCAGCAAGATATATATTGGGTGTAAAACTATAAGCACTAATCAAAGCAGGTTTCTTTCTTAAAATTGCGTTACCACCATAAATTTGAAATGATTTGAATCACTATTCGGCACGTGCGGAGATCCCGTCATCTGTAACATCGATGAAGAACATTCCGGACTTATTTTACACCTTTTCGCGAGTGCTATGAAAAGAAGTATTTGAAAGTTTCTAGAAACTACAGTTTTTCATATATGCGAGCTTACATGTCAATGTGGAATCGCACGAGCCCCAAGTAAGATGCAATTACATCAGAACTTTGGAGCTGGGCAGGCAAGCAACAGAAAAAAGCCTAAAAAAGAGAACAGCATAAGCTATGACTGAAACTGCAGGGTTCATAAAAGCATTCATATTGTGCATCTATCAAAACGCTGTCATTTAGAATAGAAGGTTGATCACATTTCGACGTTCAGACAGAAATGCAGCGTCCACTATTACTTTTTTGTTCTGCCAATGTAGGCGCTTTTTTGCAGCTTTAAGAAAATTGAAAGCCACAGACACATCATTGTCACAAGTCCTCTCCACTTGATATAGGTGTGGTGTCTTGTATCTGAACAATCGAGCAGCATAACATACGCTGATTATGAGATCAAAATACCTGCGGAATTTTTGCAGTTTTCGTCAGCATAGTGACTCGGCTCTTCATACATCACCTGCTAGGTTAAAAGAATCCTTTTCAACGGCAAAACTGCATAACTAAGTTGTTGTCCGAAAATGGAGATCTCCACTCCATTGGCAGTTGTTGCCCAATCTGCGTGCTGTCTTTAGTTTATGAACTTTTTGCTTGAGGCAACTTTTTGCTAACTGAGCATTGCACGACGGGTAGCTTGTGAATAAAAAAAGTTGAGCAAAAGATTTAGGCTTATGGATCACATGCATTTGATCACAAAACTAATCGATGTTGAAAGAGCGTAAGCGATTTCCTTGTTTCATTTACATCAATACAAAGGAAGCCTTCGACTTAGTTGAGACAGAGACACTACGTGCACATCCGAAAACGCATTCGGTGATGGGAATGGTGAAGATTCGAGTAAAGAAATTGTCGGAATAATAACCCATTCAGGCACGTGAATAAGCCGCTCTCAATAGTGTACTGCTCCCATCACCCAGTTGGTTCACTTATTTCGTTGTCTTGTAATCAATGTAAACCACAGGGATTGGTTTTTATATAATGGAATAAAAGGGTTGTAAAGCGGATTCTCTCCTCAGTGACATATAAAGCAATAGTAAAGGTGAAAATTAGAAACAGTAATTTAGAACTTTTCGAGATTTTAGTAAACGTAGCTCTCTGTCCATAAGAAAAGTGTGTAGGTGATTTTTTTTGCCTGAGTAGTTGGATAGTAAAAATAACCAGGTATTTGCTCAAGCGATCAGTCAAATTCTACGAGAGCGATTGGTGGGTAATATAGATACTTAACTGAGGCAATGGACGTTTAGATAAATGGATTCACCTGAACAGTTTTTCCTATGAAACCCATTGATGTGAAGCTCATTAGAAACCACGAACTATTACTCTTGAAAG